AATGACACTTAACAACAATAAAGCTAGTACAAAGCCCAGCAGAACCATTTACATTAACTCTCAAGACCTGAAAATAATTCTGTTCTCAGGGACCATTGAAGCACTGGCCCTACCTACCCTCTGGATTCTGGGTGGAAGTTAGGATTTATAATACATTTGATAATGACATCAGATCACACAAGGGTGGATAAATCCATAATACTGAGAATCATGGCCCAGTCAAATTGATACATATTTTAGGAAGACACAATCCATTTCATAACAAAAGCTAAGGTGATTAATGGTATGCTTTTGATGTTCTAGGCTGGACCAGATGATATCCGGAACTTTGATGCAGCATTTACAGAAGAAACCGTTCCATATTCTGTGTGTGTGTCCTCTGACTATTCTATAGTAAATGCCAGTGTACTGGAGGCAGATGATGCATTTCTCGGCTTCTCTTATGCACCTCCTTCAGAAGACTTATTTTAATGAACATTTGCCATTCAGAAAACATCAAGCAAATATAAAAATTCCAGATGGGACTGGAATTCCGATTTCTGTGAATATATAAAAACTATGTCTAACTAGTGCCTCATTTTTACATGAGATGTTGAAAACTATGAAAAATATATTTTCTGCTGTATGCAGAAAAATAGGGCATTTTCAAAGAGCTAAGTTTTAGATTAAAATTTGTATTCTTGTTTATTAAGCTAATTTTAAAACAAACTTTAAGAACTGTTATTCTTAGCATTAACCTATTTTTAAAACTGTTGCTATTGACTGTTTTTCCCTCTAAGTTTACACTAACATCTCTCCAAAAATTAGACTGTTTTTCAAGAATCTACTTCAGTTACTGTATATTAATACCTTTGGCACTCTTCTATGATTTTTATTTTCAAATCAGAACTATGCAATTGGTACAGGGTGTTTTAAGAAGAGATCATATCTTCCCATATTAAATCACTGAAATAAGTCACAGTAGGATTAAAATGCAGATGCATAATTAACACATTAGCTACTAGTTAAACTTTGAATAACCCTTCCTTCTGCAGGTTGTTTAAAAATTAACAAAAGGAATTTCTTTGCTTTTGAAATATCAGAGAAATTTGTGATTTTTTTTTTCTTATCTCTGAAAAAAAAAGGACAAAGGAGCCTAATAGTTAGAAATTTAAGTATTCCCAAAGATCTGAAGAGTAATAAGACTGCTGGATATTTTTAAGGTGGTGCCAAAAATGAATGTTTCTGTGTCATATTTATATTGCAAATATATACTATTTATTTTCACATTGTTAGTTTTGGTCTTGTGAATGTTTAAAATACTGTCAAGTAAGTCTAAATCTTGGCATTTGCCTTCCTAATTGGTGGATAAGTGGAAGAAAACTGCCTTCCTATTTGGCTGATAAGTGGGGGAAGAAATAGAGCTTTTCAGAGTATTTACTTAATTGAAAATTAAAAAGTAGAGTATCACATTCTTGGTCCGTCTAAATATATATAGTATCACTATGATACAACAAATGTTAAAAATAATTCAAGCAGATGCATATTAGAATCTTATGTCTCTTAGAAAAAATACAAGAAATTGATCTTACAATCATTACATAGCAACTAACTAATGCACTTGTAATTGTAAAAGAAAATAATTACAGTACAACTGGAAAAAAAGCCTTAATTTGGAATTCTGTTTTACTTTGGTGTGGCGGTTTTTCAAGTCACCATAGGAATGGTTCATGTGAAAGGATTCATTATTCCAGTTTAGATGCTCCAAGAACAAACTTGTGCCTTCCATGTATTTGTCTCAAAAAAGAAGTCAAAAAAACATTTGATATCAGTCCCCTTTGTCTCACAAATGTTCAGCAGAATGAGGAAGGGGGTACTTTTTAAAAATGAATACTGTTGTTAAAGTTCCATCAAGTCAGTTCCCAATCATAGTGGACCTGTATAGGGTTTGTAAGGAGTAGTTGGTGGGTTTGAACCCTCAATCTTGTGGGTTGCAGTCCTGTGCTTATCCTATAGCGCCACACCAGGACTCCTAACTGAATACTATTTACATCTAATACATGGGATCTTTCTTCAGAAGACTTCAATATTTATATTCTAAGTACTTGGTTATTTAGCACTGCTGTAAATAAGTTGTGTAAATTCTGCTTTTACACAGTTGTTTGCTTATTACAGAGCAAATAAAGAAATAGATTATGATTTCCTTTTTTTTCTCAGCTCCTGCTTAATTAAACTGCCAGAAATGGAAGTACTATACTGTATATTTTTAAGAACAAATTTTAAATAGAATTTTGATGTTTCTCAGAGCTCAAGAAACCTATATAGATAATAAAACTTGAAATAAGATTAATGATCAACTAATACTGTCATTATTTGACACTAATAAGCAATCACTGTAAAATACATTGTGTGGAGGAAAGTACAAAATTTTGAAAAAACATTCACACTTAGGAGTCCTGGTGCATGATATGTAACTTACTAGATTAGCATGTTGGTAGTGGTGTTAGGTGTCATCTAGTCTGTTCCAACTCATAGGGTTTCTGAAGAATGATTGATGGGTTTGAACCACCGATCTTGGGGGTAGCAGTCCAGTGCTTGTCCCACAGCACCATACCAGGACTCCAGATGAACATAGGTTGACATTTCTAACATTATAATCTTCCAGATTTTAAGTTTATATTTTCTCTCAGAGCATGCTAGTTTTTTAGAACTATTTCTGCCTTTTAAGTACTCAAACCATTTCATTGATTATTGAAATAAACTCAATGGTGTAAATGAGGATTCAGTTACATTCTTCAGTGTTATGTGTGGTGGTGGTGGCTGTGTGCCGTGGAGTCGGTTCTGATTCATTGCGACCCTGTACAGGGTTTCCAAGGCTGTAAATCTTTACATTATCAGAAAGCCTCATTTTTCTCCCATGAAACAGCTGATAGTTTCAAACTGCTGACCTTGAGGTTTGCAGCCCGATTCGTAACCATTACGGTATAGCTCTTATTTTATTGCCTATCATATAGTGTAGTGCTTCCCAACCCTTCACACATCATAGTTCACACAGAAAATTATGAGCTTGGTTTGCCACAGCTAGGGGACGTATTAAATAATAGAGACACAGCAACAGGTACAAAGCTTTAATGCAAAAGGGCTTCAGGATACTCTAACTCATGGGAAAATTCCATAATCTTTTCATGCCATTTTTCACTAGCTTTTTGAAGCCCCTTTGTATACACTAAGCTTTAACATACCAAAACAAACTTCCAAATTAAAAAATTTACAAAGGGAACCAACAAATACTGTAATGATTTCAGCAATGGTAAGTATTTTAGTAGTGATTTAAATATCCTAAATTTATCTCTGGAAATTTAAAACTGCAAAAATATTTTGAGCATTCTTTGGAATATCATGTTCTACATGAAGAGTGGGAATAGGTGTACAGGAACATTTGTTAATGTTGGAATGAATGAAGTTTGCTTAAATTGAAAACTTCATTTGTTGTACATGAGGTTTGGAAGTTAACTATTCTTGGCATGAAATTTTCTACCACTTTAAAGGCAACTTTTCTACTTACATTGGTGTTTCTTTTGTTTGTTTTTTCAGCATATTCCACATCCCATGCTTTCTTAGGATGCTCCAAAGGGTTCCACACTATAAAAATTCCGGGGTTCCTCTTTCTTTGCTCCTTGTCTTCTTTGTTCACCAAATGTTAAGAGAAAGTGCTCTCACGTCCCTTTTTAACACTGCAATCTGAGAATTGTATTACTTTCTATTTTACACATCTTGTATATATTAGTCATCCACTTGTAATCCTTTAGTAGTTAAAAGAATCTTGATAAAAAAAGGTACTTTTTTTCATTGCACTGTTTTCTGTATTATTCCCATATATATGGCGTTCTGTATATTGAGATGGATTGCATCTCAATGTCAAGAAAACAAAAGTCCTCACCACTGGACCAATAAACAACATTCTTATCAACGGAGAAAAGATTTAAGTTGTCAAGGACTT